TATTAATAGCACAAAGGCCAAAAGGGATAGGTGGGCCTTACTTGCTAACTAAAGTAAGGTCTTTCAACTTTAAAACTTTGTCATGTGTTTTTTATATAGCTTTTGTAGCTCCTCATTGAATGGAATATCTCCTTTAAATTTCTGGAAACCTGGTTCTGCAGATGAGTTTGATACCTCCATATGAGATGGAAGATATCTTCCTGCCTCCTGCTTCGTGTGCGATTAAGGATCTCCATATTTCCCCTTTGAATAGTGACCTGGCCCTTTATGCTTCTTTGGGAAGGAAATTATCAGTACTCAGGTAGGATCACTTGAGTTGTTATTAATACATTATTTTTTTCTTACATGTGAAGAAAAGAAAATTCAATCATTGTTGTAATTCTTTTTGTTAAAGCATGCAGAGCAACAATGTGGCTGTCAATTATGATCTACAGGTAGAAGTTTAACCCTCTTATTTCTACCTAGTGCTCACGAAAGATGTTGTTACTAGTTTAGCATTCCTCAGGCTTTGTGGTTGTTTAACATTTCTGTGCATGTATTGTGTTCATCTTTCTGTTATTCTGTTTTTAGGTTCCTGCTTGGTCATGTTCATGGGATCTCAGCAGTTCCCATTATGCATACGCTGGACTACAGGTCAGCACCTTGGTGCTGTATTTATTGGGAATAAGAATTTCACATACTGATTTCTTTCTTTCATTTTGCAGAATGGTTCTGTCTTGGTATTTGATTTGCGCCAAACTTCTGGGCCCTTAAAATCCCTAAATGGGTTAACTAGCAATCCCGTTCATACTGTACAGTCTCTTGTACAAGATCCCAGTCTTTCTTCCGGTTTTGGAGCAATTCTATCTGCTTCTGCCATTGGGCTGTGTCAGTGGAACATAGGTGCTGAAGAGGGGTAGGCTATTAACATGTTATGTATATTAGCTTGATGTCGATTGTTTTATTACCAATGCCTTATAAATATTCTGCTCAACTTCCCTCCTGCAGATTCTATTCAGCAATTTTTTTTTTTTTTGTTTAACTTTGATGGGGACAAAATCTGTTTTTTATGAAGGTTTTTTTAGCGGCTTTAGGGAATTGGCAGTTTTTGTTTTGGTCCATCTTCACATATTCCCTTTCTTTTTGTTACCCTGTTTGGTTTTGACCGTGTTAAAGCGAAGAGATTCCTTTTACGTTTCGTTTTCATTTTGTTTTTGGAAAAAGTTATTGCTGCTCTATTTGCATTTTGGAAACACGCATTAGGTTCATTATTAATCAGAGTAGTGCGGAACCTCGCTGAACTTTTCAAATTTTACCATGCATGAGTTTATTTTTGGTTCCTTGTGGCCAGTGACGATTTTGACAGTGCTAATGTGGAATCTTCGTCATGTTCTCTTTCGTTATTACAGTCATTAGCTCTACTGATGGATTCATTTATTTTGTGAAGGCCATCTATGATTCCTGAAACTGGTAATCAAGGGGTTTGTATATCTCTTGCCTATTGCCCAAGCAGTGATGATATTGTCATATCATACCGTCCCAAATTTGACATGTCCATTGATGGGTCTCTCTCCCAGCCATCTCTCACTCCTTCCCAAGTTATAGGACAAGGAGTCCAGGGTTCTCATGTTTTGTTGAAGAGGCTTGACGGAAGCCATTTGCAACAGCTGGGTTCCTCATGTGCCAATGTAAGTAACATTCGACTTCCAAAATGTGTAATAATGGACGTAGAGAGTGAGAGCCGATTGTTAGCATCTGAAGATGAAGTTGCATGTGAATTGGTCTTGCAAGAGTTGCCATCTTTTGGGTTTGTTCAGCGATTGAAATTACCAGAGCATGCGCGGGATCTGAAGTATTCACCTACTCTGAATCATGGATTACTGGGTTGTTTAACTGGAAAGTCGTTGCAACTTTTCTGTACAAAACTCTCGTGAGAAAGGTAATTCTATATTGTGATGCTTGTCCCCTTTTCATTATTTTGGGCCTAGGCAGCTGCTTTGTGCTTGTGTCAGTATGCCTGCGATACATAGTGAGGGAAGGAGTTTTTTTCCTTCCTTTTTTTGGGGGGGGGGGGGTGTGGGGTTTTGCCACTCGTGTTCAGCTACTTTTGGCTTGGGAATTTCAGCTATTACCACTAACTTAAACCTTAACTATGATAGCATGGGATCGCAAGTTTGGGGAAAGGTGTACTGTACAAATGGTCATGATCTAGATTTAATTGCCACAATTTAATGCTCAAACGTCATTGCTTCAGTTTTTTTAGTGATTTGATGTGGTTGTCAGTTGTGATAGTGCATAAACAGCTTCTTATTTAACCCTTTTCCGTGTGGCAGGTTCCTTGTCATCAAAGAAACGAAAGAAACGCTTCGAAATTTAATTCTTGCTACATATTTCCGCCGATTCTTGGTTCGTCAAGCCATATTTATCCACTTTGCCGGCATTCCTCTTCCCCATCACGTGTAATAGCTTGTTCATTCCTTTCGATCTTGTGACACCCCCACCGGGGCTAAAAAAAAACAAAACCCAAAAAATGTCCCATAGTAGGTCTTGGTGAGCCTGAGGATGAAATGTAATTAAGTCGCCAGGTTGTGTATATACATCTCTATAAATGGTTCACCGACTTTATTCTTTTGTAATAAAAATTTCACCACTTTCCTAATCCTAGCTGTTTTGAACGGCTTAGAACAAAACTATGAAACAGAAGGTCGTAAGGCCTGGAGAATGGGTTTAACATGTCCTCACCCTGTTGAAGCTTCATCTAGTATCTGGGTTGTGTGCGTTACAGAATGGATAGCCTTGTATAACTCATGTTTATGCACATGTATCAGCCACCTACATTTTGTTGAGTACGAGCTCAGAGGAATTTGAACGTCGCCTGTTGGCCGTAAAATAAAATGGTTTGCTAACAAATGACGTTTTTGATCTGCGTTTTGTTTGAAGAGAATAATCTTTTAGTAAATTGGCTATGGAGAAGACAGTCCCGATGTGCTCGCCGCATTTAAAGCTGCGGTTAGATCTCATCTATGAGATTTTTAAGAATGGGTGGGAAAAAGATTGATTCCGACCTGCCGGATTCGAACCAGCGACCTAAGGATTATCTGTTGAAACAACTACAGTCCTCCGCTCTACCAACTGAGCTAAGGTCGGTTGTTGGTCCTGTCTAACGCTAATAAATATCAAAATCGTAATTACTTACATATCGTTGTCTAGCAAAGAAACAGCAGGTGTCTTTTCCTACAAACGAAAAACCTTTTGACATCCATTTAATAAAAATTTGATTCTAATGTGCTTAATTTGTAAAGATGTTTAATTTCCTTAATTTGTTAATAATTTTGTAAAAATATTAAATTCCTTCTTCTTTTTTTTCTCTGAAGGGATGAAAATACTATTTGAAAAGAAAAGTATAACCGGAAAGCATGGATTTTTTTTTATTTTTTATTCTTATAACACGGATGGCATAATTTCCGATGGTTGCCAGTTAAACACAACTCCTGAACCCACTGTTGCATTGCATTCGCGATGAACAACTTTTTTTTTTTGGCCATGTACGAAACGCGGCATTATGGTGGGTTGAGACTTTAAGAGGATAAGCCACGTGGCTTGTTGATGCCTCTCTGATTACTAGGTCGACTATTTTTCCTTTTTTCCTTTTGTTTTGCTTGCAATCCAGTGCACTCTTTTTGCACCCTTTCTTCTCGCTAAATCGCCAAATGACTAGTGGCAGAACACAAGCGAACACAAACAATTTTTCGAGAAACGATCAATCTGGTTCCACCTTATTAAGGTGGAACCAGATTTATCGCCTCTGGCAAAATTAGAGAGAGTATTTTCTTTCGATAAGATTCTTCATAACAACGCCATTTGGTCCTTTAAAGAATGCCACTCTACAGTGGCCGAGGACAGGACCAAGGAAGGCCCAACGCATTGGATTTTTCTACCACTACGGATTCTGTGTAGTTGATTTGCTCCTCTAAAATTACAAGATAGTGTGGGATGGTGAGATACAGATCAAAACGAACCGTGGAGATGTTTCTGAATTTTAATCCATTTTCCGTTGCTCAGCCATTTCTCTGTCCCTACCTAAAGCTTTTGGGAGGAAGGAATCTTTTTGGGAAATGTTTGAATTTTATTTGGAGAGAGACCAATGTTTTGTTTTGGGGCCATGGGCCCACATCATTATTGTGATTAATCAAACAAAATAGTGTCATCATCAAAACTGCTAAAAGAATGTCAAATGCAAGGAAGGCTCAATTATATGATGATGTGTGTGTGTGGAGTTTGGACAAACATTCCATCTTTTTAACTCCAATAATATTAACAGCTCCCCACCAACATCCCCGTTTTGTTTGGTTTGGCCATCATCATCATCGGCCCCATTCCCAAAAGCATCTTCAACCAGCAATCATACTCATTTAATTATAGAAAGAATGACGTTTCCCTAATCCAGTTCATACATTTATGCCTTCTCCTGCTTGTCCTGTCACATTCTTCATATTCATATTAGTTTGCATACGTATCCTTAACACTGTCGTTGCTCAAAAATTAAAGGTTCATATTTTATCTTTAAAATTGGCTGTCCAAGTTCTCGAGAGAGAACCATACTTCAAAAGTTAGCTGTTGGGGTTAAAAAACCCAACGTCTTATAAAATTCCCCTTTTAAAATAATCTTTTTCAACGTGAGGCTTATGATAGTATGAAATTTTGTTATTCTCATATGTATTTGGGAATTTCATTGTCGATTTCTTCTCTTATCTGCTGAATTTTGTATGCATAACTCTGATGCAGTTGAGTTAAAATTCATGCTACTGCTGTAGTGTTTTTTTTTTTTTTTGGCCTTTAATTGACTCCTCCTATACTTTCTGGTTTAAGGTGAATGCAAGAATCAGTTACACAACAGGGCGTTTGCTTCAGCAGGTTCTATTAACCTTTATTATCGCAGGGTTTTTTTTTTTTTGGCAATATAAAACCCTTGGGAGCATTACCGTTTGTTTCTTTTTGATCAAGAGAAACAAAAGTTTAGGTGAAACATCAAAAGAATAACAATACTAGGGTGTTGAAAAGGGTAGTTCCACATGCATAGGACAATGAAAAATGAGACTCATTTTAATGACTGAAGATTCACTGCATGAGTCTTGGATTGGAGCAGAACGTTGTCCAACACAAAAATCTCGTATTCAACATTTAAATAACAGTAACATCATAGAATGAAGAGCGTGCATATAATATTTCACACACTCACCAATGCCACGATCCACCCAATACCATAAGGCTTCCTTGCTTGTTATTACTTGACATTGATCTTATTCGTCTCTCCCATTTTCTTTTTCTCCAGCATCAACAAATGTTAAACAAAAACGAAACAGTGACAATCTTCCAAATTTGGTCTTCTCAGCAACTTTCGAATGCTCCACTCCAGATACTTGCGTCAATGTCGTCGTCAAGAAGGGGCCCAATATAAGACACCACACAAGAAAGAAAAAGAGGAACTTTGTGAAAGATAAAAATAGAAGAACTGACAGTCTCACGGATGAACAACGTTTGGGGATAACATTAATAAAACATTTCGATTTCAGTGGGAACGCCCGCATTCTGGGGTTAGTCTGTGGTCTCTTTTGGGATCCTTGCAATAATTGTAAACCATGTGGTATCTCTGTACCCATCTCATGGCCTTATATTGCTGTCTTGTAAGGCCACCGGAGCGATACGGCGAGGCGGAGGCAGGGTGGCACCTGGCTGGGGCATGGGCTGAGCAACCACTGGCCTTCAAGTTGGTGTACCTTGCAACAAAAGGCTGATATCTGTAATCAGCTTTGTACTTGCCATCTTCTGTCGCCCATGATGAAGCGTCCCATATTGAACCATAAAGCCACATTGGCCTCACTGGAAAAGTTGCTGCACTCTTCCTCGGGTACCTCCTTATGGGTACGTCATCTACAAAGAATCTGAGTGGGAAAATAAAAAATAAAAAATAAAATTTTTTGTTCCCGGGGGTTGGGGGGAGGGGTTCTGTAATTGCCTGCACATTTTATGTAATAATTAATGCCCTGAGTGGCCAACAAAGAGCACATCATATCATTAAATTACTGTTACTTTTGACTTTTCACTGGGTTAAAAGTGTTGTAAGATTTTGTTTGCCCCACAGTCACACTTCTTTGTTTATGCCATCCTTGTGATCTTGGTCATTTCTGTTTAAGACCTTTCAGATCCCTTTCGCTTTCTTTCTTCCTTAATTTCAGAGAAAATGAAAACCTTTCCTTTTCATTCAAAGTATCAGTTATTGGTGCCTAGACTGTGATACCAATTCCTAAGCACCACTAAAATTCGGGCGACATACACGAAGTCCAAACTTACACTGTTGATTCTGCTTATTTTAATCCTATCTCTTCATAAGATCATGAATGCTCCGTGCCCCCCCACCCCCACCCAAAGACAGGGAATTTATGCATTTGATAATCAGACATACGCAAATTAAGCTTTGCACAGATACAGTGAAGTTGTACAGTGACTTACATTATTTCCTTAGGACTCCACAGTATAGCAAAGTGATGAAAATCTTCGGTCGGATCAAACCAGAGATGGAATTTCATCTCTCTGCCTATAATGTTACGATCCCCACTTCCTCTTATATAAACATTGGTCTGCAAAGTGTAAGGCTTCCCGAATGTTGTCCCCAGAAACTCAATGTCCACCTCGTCATGGAAGCCTGGATGTGCTTGATTGTTTGAAAGCTGCCATTGGTCAAGACGCAAGTGATTGGTTAAGCTCCCAACTTATGAATATGCTATTCTTGTGTTAAGTATTTTGATCATATCTTACATAGAGGGATGTTATAACGCCTGCAGTATAGCCAGGTTGCAGCTTCATGGAAGCACCAAAGTAACCAGAGCGGAATGGACGAACAGACTTGAAGCCACTCCCTGTTTGCAGGGAAAAGATGTAAAAGAAGTGGATTCCATTTTCAAATAAAAGATGAAGATTCAAATATAAAATGATAAGAAACTAATCAAACCTGAGGTTTTATCAAGCCATATTGTTAATTCATTTTTGTGTAGTCTTTGGTGCTGAGGACCCCAGAGGTTTCTAAAGCCTTTGTGAAAGCTCATAGACCTGAATTTGGAGCTTGGCCAGTAGCCAGGTGAAGGTGGCCCGTAGGCATTGCTTGAAGGTATCATAAAGATTACAATAATGAAGAGAAGGAGAGCCATAAAGATAGAAGAAAGGGTGAATAACCTGCAGTGTAAACGGAAAGCAGACTGAATCTTCTGTGCATAAATGTAGGGTGTGATGGTAAAAAGGGCAGAGGCTGCTCAGGCCTGGTGTCTAAGGAAGAAGAGTGTGGCAGTACGGTTTGATATAAATAAGGAAATTTGTGGGTCCCTCCAAGAGGATTAATGGTGAAATTTAGGATGGCTTAAAGAATTAAACAAACAAGGGGAAGCTAATAAATTCATTTTATAATTTTCTCTTGCACATTGCAACTGCTTTCCTTCAAATTATTATGACAGAAATCCCGTTAGCTTAGTTGGCAAGCTAGAAAAGGATGTTGGGATGCAGAAGGAGTTGATGGGGTGTTTTAAATGTGCCTCTGTATGTCGTTTGGCATGACTTTAAATTCCCACAAGAACTGTAGATTTGTTTCTGCGACCTCTCTACCCTCATTGAAGGCACTTGGATCTGGGCCTTGAAAGTAATAGCTGGATTAGCCGCTTCTGTTTTGTACTTTTCACCATTCCACATCTCCCTTTCACGGTGTCAGCTACATTTACCATGCAGTGAGTAGGTAAATGCCAATTTCAATAAATGAATATGTCAAAGAAGTGATTTAGAAATGTGGGTCAAGTTCTGATTGAAACAATTCTCATGAATCCAAGCGAGTATTGATGTTTTGAACTTGTGAACTTCATGGATGGAGTGGGGCAGGAGCTATCCATGTTGGACCCAATGCATGTTTGGGTTACAGCTGCACTGGTATGATTAATTGCCACGTAGAATAACCCATTAGGAATCATAGCAAATATTAGAAATTCTGAGGAAATTCATCCACATGACTGAATACATACGACCACAAAAACACACTTGTTTAGTTGTTATGTAGGTTCTGAGCAGGATGTTAATTTGACACAACAATAAATGTTTGATTAATGCTAAAGAGTGCATATTGATAGCAACCAATCACGTCAAATATCCTATATTATGAGTTATGGGCACTGCACATCCAAAACATAGACAAAAGAAAGTGAAATTCTCTGTCTAGGCCTGTGGAAAACAGAAAATGAAAGATGTCCAGAAAATTTATATCCTGGAGAATGGTAGGTTCCGTAAGTCTTGCACTCTTATTAATGTCTTGCTCCTCATCTTCTCACTCAACTATAGACATTGCGATACTGATAGTCTAAGGGCCTGTTTGCATTCACGTTTGGACACCAAAACGTGCGATTCAAATGGCAAACGGTGCTTTTTCAGAAAATGTAGTGTTTGGCACAGCGTTTATATAATCTGACTTTTAGATCTCAAATGGACTTATGGAAGAAGCTCTTCAATCCTGCTTTTACCGGTGGAAAGTAACAGTGCCGTGGAAAGGTAGCATTTTTTAATTTCTTTCTAATAATAAATTAATTTTTTATTTTAAATGATTTTATTTTGATTTTTTTTTTACAATTGTCACATTATATACATTTAATAGTAAATATGTACTACCTCCAATTCTTAATATAAGAGCTAGTTAATTAATTTGGAGAGACTAGAAAAGTTAGTTAAATTAGTTATTTATAATAAATAGTTATTGTTTTATATTTAGAATCAAATTTAAAATCAAAACTAACTCTTATACTAAGGACTGGAAGTAGTATTACTTAATAAAATTCATATCCTTTTTGTTCATTTTACATATAAACTAACTTTTTTATTAGTCATCCAAACAAGTTTACATTTCTCAAACTGACTTTTTTACAAAATCCAATCCAAACATAAATCACATTATCCTATCTGACTTTTACCCAATCTGACTTTTGTAAAAGTCAGATTGAAAAAAAGTTACTTCTCCCACCGCTAATCCAAACACACCCTAAGTCACTAATCATTGTCGTTTATGGGATACTTTCTAATCATATTTTCAACTAAACTGTAAATCTGTTTAATGCACAGTGATTAGTGAGCAGACACAATTCTTCTGAGACCAAAAGTATAGCACTGGGCCATTAATGGAGAATCTGATCCTTAATATATTTCTCGTCTAATTTTCTCGCTACTTGATATAGTTATTACCTTCCGTACAAAAAGCTGTTTGGCATTTAGAGGAGCAATGGAAATTGAGGACGATCATTAATTAATTAACCTTGAGTGAGCACTCTCAATTATGCTCTTTGGAGACAAACGCTAAAAACAAAATGCTATTATAAGGCGCACAAGATTCTCTAACAAAAGTTTCATCAACAGTGGGGAAGATCGCAAACAATTTTGGAGAATTTATGCACATCCAAGTGCAGCCAATTATGTGGCCTGCATGTTTAGGGAGTTTCAGCCACAACTATCAGACGGGCACATTGTAGAAAAATGACCCGACAAAGAAAGAGTCACTAGTAATATGCAAACAACTTAAAATGAATGGAAACAATGAATAAATATGGCAGGAGAAATATGCTTAACAGGGACTTGTGTTCCCCGCATTTCAAAATACAATACGCAATGGCTTCTTTCGTTGAACTAATAATTAATATATGGATCGGGATGTGAACTATTTTGTCGGTCACTCAGAAGAAGACTGTGGGAGGGATGGGATTGGTGGGCAGGGTCAATAGCAATGGGACCACCTTAGCCGACAAATCAAAATGCTCACAGGTGCCTTGAATTGCTTGCATTTGCTTCTGATGATGACGATGATGGTGAGTGGTTACTTCTTTTTTCCTGTAAAATCACCCGTAAAAGCTACAACTATATAGGCCAAGCCAAATGATAGCATAATCCTAGCCCCATGAGTGACTTGAAAGAATCAAGTTATGATTTCTCTTCATTTGCAGATTTGATCCTTTCTGATTATAGCAGTTTGAAAGCGAAGCAACCCGCCCAAATTTGGATGCGGATCAATTATTGAGTGAACTGTAATGAAGATGAATATTCACCTCTGAAGTCCTCGCAAGTTAATATTATAAGACCCCATGAATATGAAAGCTGTTTGGTTGTTTTCCCAAGTACTTGGTCTGCACTATATATATATATATGGATGTCACGTGAAGGCTTGGCTTTATATGCTTCCCCAAGTGCCCAGCCACTCAGACTCGCGGGTACTCTATCTTCTGCACAGTATTATTAAAAATTCATGTAATGTAATGCTTAAGGGAGAAATTATGTTTCACATTATGGGCTTAATGCTTGTTTATTGGCTAAAAAGAAGATTTTAGAAAATGAAGAGAGAAAAGTAGCCAAGTGATATCTGGCTCAAAAAACATATAGTTTTTCTTACAAAAACGGGGGATGAAATGAAACAATAATTGTGGTGTTTTATAAATACAACTGCTTACAAATGGATCATTTTATATATTTACGTTTGATGTTTTTTTTTTTTCTGAGCTAATAATTTCCAGTCAATTTTGATTGCAGAAGTTGAAATTAGTGAAGAATTCATTAATCAGCACAGACCTGTGGGATTCGCTGAAAAGTTGGGGCATGGTATGGGTCAATCGGTGCATGGAACTTAGGGAGTGTTTGGATAAAAACCAAACCATGGTTTCAGAAGTGCTTTTACGGATTACGAAATAAATATGTGGAGGAGGTTACCTCGTTTTGCGGAAAAGTCCTTCTGAAACCACGGTTTTAGAGCATCCAAACAGGCCCTTAATTGGGGGATAATCTATTTAGGTAATCCTATGAGTATGATAGGTTTTGTCGGCCGAATGAAAGTCAGACTATCAGTTCTGAGGAATAAAATAATTATAAGAGCAATCACAGCTCACAAGGACCACTTTGTGGAGAATTGGGCTAATTGTATTGTAGGCTTTGATTATTGGGCCAATATTGAATTGCTCCTTGGGCCCAATTGGGCTTTGTATTTTCACACCGTATATGGGAGATCCAGTTGTAGATTGCAAAGGACATATATACGACAAAGACACCCGACGGATATTAAAAAGAGAGAGAAGGAATCAAGGAAGTGCACGTGATCAACCAAAACAGTAAGGGGAATATGTATTACGTTAGTAAATTATACTTGCGCCAAAACATTGTACTCTTCTGATCTAAATATAAGATTTTAATTTATTTTATCTTTTATATTTATTATTATTTTTCACTACAAAAATATTTTAGAGAAATTGGGTCACATTTGTTTTAATTAATTGATTTATATAAATTTCTTAATTAATTTAAATTAATTAAGCAGTTCTTACGTTAAGAACTAAATAAGCATATTAGGACTTTATGAGAGAGGAATTCAAGATCAGGCTTGACTATAAAATGAAAGCAAATTCATGGATGCAACTAGGGGTGTTCATCAAGCCCGCTAGCCCGGTATGCCCGCCCGAGCCCGCAAGAAAATGGCCCTGCCCAGCCCGAAAAAAAAATAGCCCAAAGAAAAATGGGCATTTTTGGGCTGGGCATATTATGGGCAGGGCAGGGCTGCGGGCATGGTATGCTGCCCTGCCCATTTGGCCCTGCCCGTGATATATATATTTATAATTCTTTTTTTTGCCAAAAATACTTATAATAATATATAATATATAATAATATATATTATTCTCCCCTCTTTTATTTGCCATAAATACATTTAGTGGTATACGTAATTCTTCCTTCTTAGTATCTTTTTAATTTGGTTTAGTATCTTTTAGTTTGTTTTTATTGTTGGTTGTCTTACAAAGATGCAAAAGCAAGCTCACTTTAGTGTTATATTAAAAGATATATCAATTTAAGACAAAGCAAAGTTATTGATTTGTTGAATTTATTGTTTATTCAAGTATTTATTTCTTTATAATTGTTATAAGATACCTTTACTTTAACTAAAAAAATTTTCACCAAGGTATCACTATTTGGGCTTGGAAGCCCGCCCTGCCCAGCCCGTTATTGCCCAGCCCGAAAATGGTTAGGGCTTCTATGGGCAGGGCAGGGCAGCGGGCCGCAAAATGCAGCCCGCTCATTTTTCGGGCCGGGCATCGGGCAGGGGGCATGCCCTGCCCAGCCCTGCCCATGAACACCCCTAGATGCAACGTAGGCAAACTAATTAAAAGGCAACCACATGCCTAACTTAGCCAAACAAGGTTTCCACTTTATTGAAAACTTTCCCAAATAACTTGCTCAGATTCACCATTTGCATTATAGGCAGCTGGAAACATGCATGCTGGCCATGTAAGACTGGTTCTCTTCGGACCGATTGGATTATGAACAATCCCGGCGATTATTAATTAGTTATGGTTACCAACAACGCTAAATTCAAAGGAAACATAAGAAGAAACCCTCACTTTAAACCAAGATTTAATGGATTTTTCTTTTTGCAGGCTTAAAAGTAGTAGATTCTATGCTTCATGCCCTGCACAAATGTAGCTGGCGCACCAATTCTGCAGTCAATTTTGACGTTTTTTTTTCCCCCCCTATAAAGCATCAAAGTAATGATAAGGTGGTAGGATATGAGGCCAAAATTATTCCTTTTTAATTTTCTGGTTTGTTTGGCAGCATTTTTTTGGTGTTTCATGACACTTACATCGTTCATATTAGTTCATGTCTGACATAAAAACCTAGATATTTATTGAAACGTGAAAAAATCGTGCAAGTAATTGCATCGAAATGAAAACGTAATACGGGCATACGGCAGTCCGAACATAGATACACATATTATTTTCATTGTAATATATAAGATGGTGGCAAACTCTTAAATGGCGCTCTTTTGTTTTTTGTCAGCAGAATGATGCGAATGTGTATTAAATTTTTTTTTTTATCATCACTCATTTATTTTTATTTTTATTTTCCAAAAACTATGTGCTATTCCTGGTTTTATATATAAGAAAATTCTTTTGGAAACAACCCACTTCTATTTATAAGAGATCCTAATAGCCTATATCAAATTTTTAGTATTATCTTCTATTTTTACTCTTATTAATTATTAATATGTCAGCATGCATTAATTATCTTACTCACATTCTTTTCATAAATAAAGATCTTTTTTAAAAAAAATAAGTTCTATTCTTTTACATGCTTATTATTTTTTAATTAATTTCAAGTAATTTTTTAATTTAGGTAGTGGGTTTATTAGTATGTTGTAAAAAAGGAGGAGGGAGTATTATTATTATTATTATTATTTGATATTTGATTTGATGTGATTTTGTTTCCCGTCATTTTTCACACGAATCTTTCGTGTTTATAAAAGTTTGGTTCGTTAAGAATGCGTCATCCGCTGATCCACATCCCATACGGATCCGACCCGTTAAGTTTGGTCCTCAACAACAGAACGAGACACCAAAACAAGGCGAAGCATTAAATTTAAAAGTGTCATTTTCATCCTCTATATTTCATTCAGTTTCTGTGTTATATGGAGATAACTAACCTGCACCATTCATATTTATTACATGCCCATTCCTCACCTTCCCAGTATCTCTTCACCATTCCCTTGATTTGAGGAAAGAAGAAAAGGGAACAACAGCGCAGCCATTCCCAGTATCTCGGTCATCTCTATTACTTGACATTGAAGCTGTCCACTTTACAAGTTCACTGCGATTCCCAGCTTGCCCATAATTCAAGGTCATTCTCACTTCTTCATCATTTGTTGGCTGGGAAAAGGAGATTTTTATTTTTTATTCAAACGAAAACCCAGGTTTGCTTTACACGAAAATGAAACAGCCACAGTAAGCCACCTTTGCATTCCTATTTGCTTTAGCTCCCCACCAAAACCAATCTGTTCACATTTATGTTTACCAGGGTAAATGGAGATCGATAAGGCAATCAGGGAGTGTGACGATGGAAGGCTTCGCACCAAGTACAATAACTCCATCTACGTTATTCAGAGAGCCTTGTCCTTATACTCGTAAGCTTTTCTTTATCTCCTTTGATGGGATTATTCTACTATGTAGGATTTACATTAGATTGGTTGTTATCTTCCTTTCTTGTTTGCCTGGGTTGTGAATTATTGTTTTTGCTCGTTTTCGTTGCTTAACATTGCTTGAAAGATGTTATGGTTGTTCCAAAACTAGTCAAATAAGTAGGCCTCCAATGTTGATGGATATCTATTCATGTCAAAACTTTTCAACCCAACAATTCGTATAGTTTATGTTGGGCAGCCGCTTATTGACTGATTAAAACTGACCGCAAGAGTAGAACAGAGAGGTCCTCCCCCTTCCCCTCTTTTGCTGTATTTGGCAGGTTCATTTGCCATTCATTCCTGCCTACGGTAAAGCATAAATGCAAATGTTTCATTTTGACTACATTTTAGCAATTTATGAATGCTGATGGTCATCAATCTTATCACAACTGACTGCCCCTGTTTTAACGATAGAGAGAAAGAGGAAGAGAAGGGGAGGGGTGAGGAGGGAAAGGGAAATATGATAAGCAAGAATTCATAACGTACTGAAATATGCAAGCTTGCTGATGTTGGCTTGCACTAAATGAATTTCTTACAGAATAGAGGAGGTCGCCTTTAGCTTCAATGGTGGAAAGGATTCAACAGTAAGTTTAAATTTGTGTAATCTTTAAGCGTATGTTTGCATCCTTGATCTCATTGACAGTGAAATTGAGCCTTGATGTGTAGGTTTTGTTGCACCTACTCAGAGCTGGATATTTCTTGCATGATGGGGGACAAAATAGTCGTAATGGAAGTCTAAAAGATTTTCCAATTCGAACAATTTATTTTGAGAGTCCTTGTGCATTTCCAGAGATCAACTCGTTTACCCATGACACAGCAGCCATGTGAGCAGAGTTTCTTGTAACTTTGTAGTATTGAATTTAAACTGCAATCATATTTGCATCACATTGGGCTCGCTTCTTTCTTTTATTTTTAAAATTATTCTTGTATTAAAGTTTGGGGTTTGGTCTCTGCTGAAGATTGTAGCACTAACCAGTAACTATTGTTTGAGCAGCTACGGTTTGCAAATTGACAATATTTGCTTAGATTTTAAGTCTGGTTTGGAGGCCTTGTTAAAAAATAAGCCAATTCGAGCTATTTTTCTTGGAGTCCGTATCGGCGATCCTACTGCGGTATCTTTTTCCCCCCTTCTCAATCCCAAAATAACTCTTTCCTTTTTAGCTTAATATCACATCATCTAACTTGATATTTTCCCAATACTTAATCATTTCTATATAAAATTGAAATTTTAGTTGTCATATTAATGGATGATTGTCCCCGCCTTGCAGATAGGTCAAGAACAATTCTCACCTAGTTCACCTGGGTGGCCGCCTTTTATGAGAGTGAATCCCATTTTAGATTGGTCATACAGGTAGTGGATTTTGTTATATGCTGTTTCTCTTAAGTACTTTCTACCAATAAAGTCATAAGTTGTGTTTTTATCTAATGGTACTTTCTTTCTATTTTAACTTCTATCTGGATAACTAAACAGTAATAGCAGCCTTAAGAGATCCCAAGAAACATGATTTTCTTTTAACTGATTTATATTAATATTAAATTTCGATGAAGGGGCTGTCATAGAAAATTTCTTGAGCAAGATGCTTAGTGACCCTAAAATTGCAGCAGTGAAAGAAAAAAAAAAAGCTTTGCGGTCATTTGTCATGTCAGTTGTGAGCACCATTAATAGGCAGACCTCCTTACGCACAATATTTAATAGGCTTTTAAGCAATCCTTTACCCACTTCTTACATTTAGAAGAAAGACGCAGCAATATATTGGTTAACATTGTTCTTGGTACAAATTAATGTATAATGTTATGGCATATGGCACAATGAGAAGGTCACAAATTTGGTTATGCTCTTTCTTATGCTAACCGGAAAAATTCAGGTCACAGATGAAGGGTGGGTTGATGTTATAACAAATCTGATAGAGATGCTTTCTCCCCCTCACTCACACTCACATACTCACAAAAGAAAATCTCTTATAATTAACTCTGTGCTTCTTTCTGTAAAACATTTTGAAGGTTAAGTTGCTGTTGATGTTGAATCTTTTTCTTTTGTGTTTTTTTAAACTCAATGTTCCCTTAAATATCTAACAACTATTCACAACTTACAATCTAACTAAATAAACAGGCAATGTATGTTTTGTTACTATAATTTTCTGCTTAATTTGACTCTGCTCTTTCTCAGATTTTTCTCTTCATCAGTATGCTAATGCTTTTGGTCTTGGAATGTGATGGTGTAAGTTGCTTCATTCAGTTCATTTTAGGACAGATTTAATGGTCTTAACCTTCTTATATTTCTACGGCAGAGATGTGTGGGCCTTCCTTCTAACTTGCAAAGTGCAATATTGCAGTCTTTATGATCAAGGGTAATACTCCTTATATGATAGACCTTACGGTTGGCTTCAATGCATTGACATGCTTTTGCTTTCATATTTTTATTTCAAGCCACATGTAATTTATTCCTCTTCTTTAAGGAAAAGCTAAAAAGAAAAAACTTGCTTCTTCCCAGGTTATGATTCTGAGTCTATAGATCTTTGATTCAAAATTTAATAACTAGACCATCATAGTTCTCATTTCGCATTAGTTATTTATGAGTGTTTTGGGATTTTTATTGAGCGACCATTTCTTTACTTGTACAGTTATACTTCAATAGGGAGCACACATGACACTGTTCCCAATGCATTATTAAGCATCGGCAATTCTTCCAATGAATTCAAACCAGCATATATGCTCTCTGATGGAAGACTAGAGAGGGCCGGGAGGGCTAAAAAGTCATCTATTTGGAGACAAATTCCAGCTAATAGCAATGGCTTGAATAGCTTGGACTTGCATAAAACTAGATTACTCACAGCATCAGTAATTGTTGTGGGGGCTGAGATTCTGTAAGTACCTTGTCTGTATTACATGGATTATATATCAGATAAGATACTGTATCTTTTAGGAACTTGTAAGCATTCTTTTGGAATTGGATAGTGTTAATACTACTAATTATATCACCTATGGCGTAAACCTATAATAAAATGATGAAAGCAATGATAAGACAAAATCTGTATTCAAAATTTTCCGCTATGTGTACTTGCAGTGCACAATTTATTTTTTTTATTATCCTTCATAGCAAGTGTTTTAATAAATTCGCTGTTTTCTTTTCTCTGCTCATAGCTCAGGTTTGGTACTGTTGAGGATCAGTTGGGACCTTCTTTGTGTAGGAAGTTGCATTCTGTTGGTTGGTCTGTGTCACAAGTTTCTGTTGTTCACAATAATGTGAGTTATATCTGCTCAGTTCTCACCTGTGTGTATGTTAAGCAGTCTGATTTGCAGATATCTGCACTTTGAAAGTATTGCAATCAACATGGAGATAACTAGTCATTTATTTACTGGGCTTAGGCCAGATAATTAAACTCTGATATAAACATTGTTGATTTCTTTTCTTGCCTCAGATAGATTCTCTTGCTGAAGAAGTTGAACGGCAGAAATCTACTTGTGATATGGTAGAAATTTACGAATTATGTGTTCTTTTCATGGAATTTAATGATGAAATGTGGTTTGGCCTGTACCGCTGTACATCTGACTTGCTTATTGTAGGTTACTATATGTGGAGGTGTAGGTCCACTGCATTCAGATGTCACATTAGCAGGCATAGCCAAGGCTTTTGGTGTTCGTCTGGTGCGTAACTTCATTAAACTGTTACATTCTTCACTCAAGGAAATTATAGCGGTTCCCTAAATATGCTTGCATCCAGCCCCTCGTGATAGTGGTTCTTTAAGGAGCCTGACATCCCTGAATGATGTTCAAGCTTCTTCTGCTGGCTTGGCTAAGCAGTGCATATGGCCTTCTATGGTTACTCCTTCCTATAATGTATAACATTATCATTGAAATGGTTGGCCATTTGCTTTTAATGTAGGCTCCTGATGAAAATTTCGAAGAATATCTTAGGCATACTATCGGTGATCAGTGCAATGGGGACTGGAATAAGGTAATTTAATGCAGAAAAGTTGGTTATCTCATGTCTATCTAACGTATCCTTTTTTAAAGTTAAATTGACAATGAGCTTCTGCATTCATCTCTATTGTTCTTCACCTTTCAGATGGCTCAATTGCCTGAAGGCATTACCGAATTGTTGCATCATGACAAGTTATCTATGCCTTTGGTACGCCCTTGGAACTCAAATAACAGAAAATCCAAAAATATCATAATAACTAGAAGATTGGTTACCTATGGGAAGAAACTGGCAAATTTTGGTTTTATTTTCATTAAAACAAATTTCTATGCACCAACATCTGTATTTATATCATGTGGTTGAAGGATTGATAGTTTTAACGTGTTTCCTGCAGATAAAGTGTCAAAATGTAGTAGTTCTTTGTGCAACTGATGCTTTGGAGCTGGAAGAGGAATGGGACTGTTTGATTGAGTTGACAAAATCTTCTGACCTGTTCGCATTGCTGAAAGCCTATGTGTCAAAGAACGTGACAACAAACCTTTCAGATGTATGTGTTAGCCACCTTCGTTATTTAACTTCTATAATCATAAATCTGGCATGATTTCACACACCCACCCTCACATACCAACAGTTGGTCTTAAAAATAAGATTGACGGTTTTCAGTACCTGCACACAATAAGAGAATATCCCCAGAAGTACGCGATAGGTTTCATTTTTGCCAAATGTTTGAATTCAAATATTATCATGCAAGTTATTTTTATAATTATTGTGACATTGACATACTATTTGTTATTTTCCTTTGAGTTTTTTTTCTTCAACAATTTGGGCTGATCTCAATTAATCGTTGGGCTATGTAAACTTCAGGCGGAAATTGCTCAACCTCTAACAAAGCTTTGTCTTGAGTGTCCTGATCTCTACATTGGTACGAAATCTGTGAACTATGGTGAATTTGAGCAGCACAGAGCTCTGCTTTTATTTCTTTCCCGTTATATTTCATCTTTTCAACGTACAGGGTGTTACCGCAAATCCAGATATGGACCTCTGGTTATAAGTTTCACAGGAAAGGTATGTTAAAACCTCCATACACCGAATCCTGCTTCAGAAATAGAAGTAACCTTTCTTGATATGATGCTAGCTTTTGTAATGTTCTTGCAGGAGCAAGCAGGCATTGAGTCAGCTGTAAAAGCATTACATGAGAAGTTTGGGTCGGATGCTTTCATGGATATAGACTAAGATTATGAAGATTTTGGCATTCTTGTAAGAACCATGGAGAGGGAGTCAAAGCTGCTGCCTCGGTAGAACAACAAAAATAGCAGAAACTGATGACATAAAACTCTGACTTGGGATTTGGACAACCAAACCCTTCTTGTTGAATTATCAGATGAGCTTAAATCATAGCACTTATCCATATAGGCTTTAATTTTTCATAGGAAGTCCTCCGTCTGCACCATTTAGTTAATGAAGCTAACTACATCCTCTGCAATAGCTGCTTCTGTCCAGATTACAACATAAATATATCTCCCAGCTTTGTTTGCTGTATCTATGTTTGATCCTTTGTTTTGTTAAATTTTTAGAGTCGTATTACCCCCAAAAGAAACACAAGAATTCCTTGTCTTGATATCAAGCGTTTAGCGCTGAGGTGAATGAGTTTGGGTGCTCATTAAGATGGATGAGAACTTCAAACTTCTCGGATCGATCTAAATTTAGTTTTATTTTTATTTTTTTAAATAATTATTTTAATAGGTATAAAATATAAAATAAAAATAATCTCTTAATTATCATTTTTTTAAAAATAATTTTTTTATTTTAAAATAATTATTTAAAAATATTAAATTTGAACCCTCCAGAATAAATCTGGACAATTCAGATTACTTGGTCAAGTGATGAGTGTTGGGCGGGCACCACAACCGCACCCCATTGTCAGGTTACCCTCCATTATTTTTTTCTCTCCTCAGCCTACTTCGTTTCAACCAAATGGGTCAGTTTCTGAGGATAAGAAAGGACTTTGTTATCATCGTCTTCGATGTAAACTTTGACGTTCGAATTTCTCTTGAGACTTGACACCCCACCTAATTCTCCTGTTGTCCGCTTGTACGATAGTTTAGTCAGAGTTTATATTAAATTTAGAAGCCAAGTCAAACTTGGATGAGCAAAATAAAAGTGGTCTTGATGTTTTATAATTTGTTGTCTCTGCTTCCTACTTTCTTAGCACCCTAGTTCAACACTTGTAGCCTTGGAATTTTTCGAGGAAAATGAAGAGTTAAAAAAAAAAAGTAATGATATGTCAGTATATCGATACACATGTACTTAAATATACACACATGCATGCATGTTTATTTCCTTCGGTTTTGATTGTTGTAAAGAACATTAACATCCGAATGAGTCTTGGTACACATCCTAAACTCATCAGATTTGGATAGTTCAGTTTTAGTTTTATTTTTATTTTTTGAAATAATTATTTTAATGGGTATAGAATAAAAAATAAAAATAATTTTTTAACTATCATTTTTTTAAAAAAAAATTATTTTAAAATAATTATTTAAAAATATTAAATATGTATTATCGAAATTAGATCTGGACGGTTCAGACTCATTACTTGATGAGCACTATAATCGGATCCTTAACAATGTGGCTAAGACACAAGTAACCTAATTTGGCTAGTGGGCACAGTGCCGTAAACAATTGGAGCGGCTAACCATACAAGTACCACGACATCTTCCATCCTACAGAGATTTTAGCTCGTTGGGCCACGTGAGGCCCAGATAAAGATCCACATGTGGATTTGGGCCATCTGGCCCATTGTATTCATAGGCGAATGCTTCACCTGATAATCGCATTGCTTATCGTGTTTGGTGCCATGTCAAAATCACAGATCATTTAAACGAATATTATGAATGACATGATTTAAAATCAGGTCCCTCAAATTTAAATGCAGAAAATGTAACGAGGTTTGAGGTAGATGCACAATACATGCACAGACAACTTGCTGTGATACATCATTTTCTTTGCCAACTGATACATCATTATTAATTAACAATAAAATGCAAATAATAAACACCTTCGTGAATATAAGTCTAAAAAATAAAAAAGAAAAGTAATTACATGTTTTGTGTTCAGCAGAAAAATTGAAAATTAGCAAATATGTAGGAGGTAAGATTGGGAAAAAGTTTAGTTTAGGAGAATTTTAAAAAAAAAATAATGCAAAGAATAATGGAGAATTGGAGAAAAAGTCTCTCATTAAAAATTTTATTCATGATAATAACCTAAATTTGTTCGATTCCTGTGGCTCATAAAATTTTCCCGAATACGAGGAAGAGGGAGTGGGCTGGGGCAGCTGTGACACGTGAATCATATTGCATCTGCGAAATTAAATGCGCAATGGTACGTACCACAAAAATACAACTATATGTATAAACCCACCAGTCGCTTCGCCATGTATTTGCTCATATACGGACAACACATCTCACACCAGTTTAAGTGTCTCGTCTCTTTTCTTTGACTTGGCATTTAATTATTCCATGGGCTGCTTGCATCAATTGCTCCCCCCCCCCCCCCCCCAAATAGACTGAGCGAGCATTCATAGTATATATTAACTAGGATCATGTTGGTTTATAAGTCATAAATTTCATTTTTTATTTAGATTAAAACTAAATATATATTTTTTGTGCCTGTAATTTCAGAGTTTTTTCAAGTCACTTTGAACTTGAGACTTTAATCTCTATGGGACTGAGAATGTTAAAATTAGAGCCCTTTCAACAAATGCATTTCTCAAAATTTGAACTTTGCTCTCTTCTTTACAAAAAAAAGATTACTTATCATCTTAACTTATAGCTTGTTGATAAAACAGAATGTGTATTGTTTCTCATAGTTATGAGTTTTAATATTTTATTAATTCAAGCAGATAATCAATATTGTCGAAGAAAAGATAATGAAATTATTTTTTCTTATATTTTATTAAAATATTCAAGTGAAATAGAGAATTTAAAAATAAAATAATTCACCTTTAAACTATAAATAATAAATAATGAAATTTTAATTAGAATAAACCTGAACTAGAAAATAAAAGATAATGAATCCGTGAATGTTAATTATAAATTAATATAGATAAAAAGTGAAATACACCTCAAATTAAAAATTGACATGAATTTGATGTCGTTCAATTAGAAACAGCTGGTATTAATAATAAATAATACTAATAATAATAATAAAGAGATTATAAGGAGGAAAAAAAATGAAAACCTGCTTGAAAATTAAATAAAACCATAAGAATTGTCAATTAAGTTTTTTGAATTAATAAACGAAATGAATAGTGAGGATAACAAGTATTTAAATAACCATTTTAGTGTTTATATAAGTTTGTCTTCATCCTAATTTTCTGCCAAGGCACACTACCTGTCGGCCAATTACTGGCGGGTTTTGCTAACGGTCAATTCAATTGGGAAATCTAATTTTCTTTGAGCAGTATATGCTCCTGCATGCATCCCTCGCGGCAGCGCAATAAATTACAAGTGATTGTCTCCATCCAATTTATACATATGCATGCGCGCGCGCGCACATATATGTATATATATATCCTATGATGAAAGCTTTGAATTACATATATATAAGAAAAAGGCTCTAAAAATTCAAGTGAAATAGATAAAATAATAATAATCAAATTTAATTTGAACAACATTATTACTTGTCTTCAGTTTTTTTTTTCTTTGGGCAACCTCACCGAAAAATTTAGATGAGCTAATTATTGAAAGCTTGGGAAGATCTGAACAAGCTTTGTAATTCAAGGAGTGCTTACAAAGACAAAACATGCAAATGCTCTACAAATAAAACGCTTACACGGACATGACAGCTAGGTTTTAAACCCAAATTCTTATATATGGATTTTACGCAAAAACCTTATTAAAAATTACACAATACTATAAAGATCAATTTTATTAATAACTGCTACATTTACTATTATCATATAATAAGCGCTCTTAAAACAAAAGTGAGTTAATCGTAAATATGTGTCCCGTCGTTTTCATGTCAAGAAAGTGTATCCATTATGATATGTGATTGTATTTGGTTATCTATATTTATTTTGGTTGCCTAACGTACCTAACTCTTTATTCTATATCTATATCTGTCTACTATATATATAAGCCCCTATTATGCTCCGACCATGATAATAAGGGTCAGAGGCAATCCAACTACTCCTCCGGTCCTAATTATAAGACCCAATTGACTTTTTATTTGGTCCTAATTATAAGACCCAATCCATTTTCTCTCTTATATTTATGCATTTTTTTCCAAAATAATCCTTCTAATAATGATAGTTTTAGCCAATATACTTAATTAGTAAGGATATTTTAGGAATGACAACACTTATTTTTATAAATAACCAACTTAACTTACTCCTTAATCTCCTCAAATAAGTCAATTGGGTCTTATAATTAGGACCGAGGAGTATTATCTTAAGTCTTTAATATAAGAGCCAATTTTATTTTATTTTGGTTTTAAATATAAAACCCCAGTTCATTTTATCTCTCATATTTATTTACTATTTTTTAGGGTAATTCTTGTAGTAATGATAGTTGTAACTAATACATTTAATTAGTAAGGATATTTTAGAAAAAACAACACATATTTATTACAAATAACTAACTTAACTAATTTTCTTAACCTACTCAAATTTATATCAAAGGCCGGGTATAGTATAATATTCCCCATGATTGTTTTGCAAGCATCTTATCAATTGCATTCAATCTCATTAGCCTACCATCTGGATGCTCATGAAAGTCATAAGTTTATACATCTGATAAATAATATCTTAGTGGAAGTAATTACCACTTTAGGATTTTAATCAAACATTCATTATTTTATTATAAATTTATTATAAATTTACTTTCAACTATACAGGAAAAGAGAATATGTAAACAAATTGAAGTGCTTACTGCTAATTGAGCAAACTGCTCATAAAACAATACAATTATCAAGAGGATGGATGGTGGCTAAGCACAATAATTTTGCGGAGGCATCAACATCGATATATAAATAATAATCAAGATTATATATATTGTTAACCTCTGGGCCCCACTAGCCAGCCGTTCCCGCCACAACAGTGAGGAAAAAGAATATTTCAAGAATATTATGGACCCTCGCACGGCATTATTAAATGAAGAATCTGACCTAAGACTATAGCGAGAAACACTCGGACTTTGTTTCACGATGGAACCTCACTTCGGGAAATATTTCATGTTAAATTTATTAACTTTTTTTTGCCAGCTTTCTTTGTTCAGGTTATATCTTCCCACTTCCAAGCTTAACCGGTGGTTTTTAGTATCAAGAATATTTGAATAAAAACTAAACCATAATTTTAAAAATTATTTTACAATATACAAAATAAATATATGAAAAAAATTTTGTCTTGACATATATAAAATGCTTTTAGGAAGAGAGAGCGAATAAAATGTACTTTTTTTTAAAAAAAAGAGATTTGACACAGTGGTTTAAATTTTAGTTAACAATATTTTGATCATAATTTCACAACAGAATGATCTATTTCTCCTAAC